ATTCATTTCCCCTTTTTCATTATTCCACTATTTTTTTATTTTCATAAATTAAATAAAAATAAAATAATAAATGATATATGTTATAATTAAAATTTATATTTATAATAGTTTATATTATATTACATGTAATATTTTACTAAAAAAATTATAAAAGTAGTGAACCAATTTGCATTTTAATTTTTTTACTTTTAATTTTTTTTCATAAATATTATTAATTTAATGGAAGTTTTATTTTCAATTCCATATTTTTATTTTGTATAAATAGAAAGTAATATTTTATATTATATTATAATTAATAAGTTATAAAATTATCGACTGATTTATATTTTAATATGATTCATTTTTTTTTGAAAACTTTTCCTTGTTTAAACTACGGAATAAATAAATAAATTTTATTGACTAATGAAAATACTTCAAATATATACCTTTAATTGTTTGTGTTATATTTTCTATTTATCTTTTTTATAATAAATATAGAAATAGATAATATTCGATATTAACTAGTATAAATTTTGGTTTTAGTAATCTATTTATGGAAAATAAAATAAAAAATATATTCTCAACTAAGTAATCTACAAAGAGATGATCACTTATGTTTATGTTTTATCCACTTTTGGTCATTAATTTCAAAAAACATAAAATATAGTCACTTTCATTTTTATTTAATTAAGATATAGTGACTTTTTCTTTTATTTAATTAAGATTTGGTCACTCCGAATTAATTACCGTTAATTATATTTAAATATTTTTTATATAATCACACATTTGGTCCATGTTATTTACATATTCTCTTAATTTAGTAATTCTTTTAATAAATTAAAATAAATTATATATTTTAAATGAAAATAAAATATTTTTAAACTAAGTTAAAAATAAAATATATTTAATAAGTTAATATAAAAATATTTTTAGGTTAATATATATAAAATCATAATTATATATAATACATATAATCCACACATAAATTTTAAAATTCAAATTACATAATCGAAATAAAATTTATTAAAAATTAAAATAAATAAATAAAATTTAATTTTGAAGTTAAAATAAATATTTAAAAAAAAATAGTCTAGAACGTTAATGTGAAATAATTTAAGAAATTAAGAATTTAGAATGTTATGGTGTCAAAATTTTAAAAAATTAGGATTTTAGAATGTTATAGCGAAATAATTTGAGAATTATGGATAAAAATTTAATAAGAATAAAAATAAAAAATAAATCGGGTATCGGATCAACAGTTACCTGATTAACCAACATTTTGTGACCTAGACCCTACCTAGAAACCCCAAAAATATAGTTGGAATTCCTAGAATCAATGGACAATATCTTTTTTCTCCCCTTAATTCTAGGAGTTTGTCTTATGTAAATAGTCACTAATCTAATTCCATGATTTTAGGAATGATTTCCTAACTTAGAGTATTTCTTCCTTATAAATTGTAAGTTACTGTTAGAGCAATAAAGTAAGAATTTCATTTCTTATCACATTTGATTATGGCATCAGAGCTGTAGGACTCATTCGATCCTAATATGCTCTTCCTCTAGAAATTGTTCTTGCGTTGTTTTCTTCATATGGAAGAACAATCAAAAAATCTTTCCGAATCTGAAACCTCACATGTTTCCCAAACCATAAATCAGTCAATCCCTCTTGGTGACATGAGTTCCTCTCTTATAATCACCAACCACCGTTTAGATGGAAAAAATTTCCTACAGTGGTCTCAATCAGTACTAATGGTTATTCGAGGCCTTGGGAAATTAGGATATATCAATGGAGAAATTCCTTAGCTAACCATCACATACCCTACTTATGCTACATACGAACTCAACAACTCAATCGTGATGGTCTGGTTAATTAATTCGATGGAAAACAACATAATCCGTACCTATCTCATTTTCAAGACTGCAAAAGAAATTTGGGATGCAGTAAAGAAAAACTATTTTGATCTGGGAAATGCTTCCTAAGTATTTGAGATCAAATTAAAACTGAAAGACATTCTACAAGGGACGCTTGAGGTAACTCATTAATATAACAACTTGAAGATCTTGTGGCAGGAACTCGACATGTATTATGAAGTATTTGGGATGAAGTTCGTGGATGGATTTTAGGTAGAACTCCTCTTCCTACCATTGGTGAAGCTTTTGCAGAAGTTCGGAAAGAGGAAAATTGTCGTCGGGTTATGATGGGAGACAATAAGGACCCACCAATTACCACCACTAGACATCGTCCTTTTGAAACCTTAGCCCTTGTATATAGGGGTCCTCAATTCCAAAAGAGGAGTGATGCAGGTCAAATTCGAATAGGAGAATGACCTTGGTGTAACCACTGCAACCGCACTGGTCGAACTAGAGAAAAGTGTTTCAAACTCCATGGAAACCTTGGGAGAAAAAAAATCAAAAAAGAGACCAGGGCTCTTTTTTTATCCATCACTTCATCCTCTACAGAAAATACCTTGGATGTCCGATTAACCAAATCTCAACTCAAAGCCCTACACAAGATACTTGAAACATCAACTGCTGATGGATCCTTGGCTATTCAAGGTACTGTTTTTAATATCACTTCGGATTCCACTAATCAATCCTCTTGGATCCTGGATTCAAGTGCCTCCGACCACATGACATGTAACTCATCCCTATTCCACAGCTACATCTCATATCAAAATCAATATCGTATTTGAATAGATGATGGTTCATACTAGCATGTTGCTGGAACTGGGGCAGTTAAACTCATTGAAAAACTCTCTCTTGACAAACTCTTACATGTCCCAAATTTATCCTGCAATTTACTGTCAGTTAGTAAACTAATTGAGGATAATTGTACTATTGTTGAATTCTCTATTTGTGGTTGTATTGTACAGGAACATAAATCAGGGAGGATGATCGACACTCCTAAGGTTGATGATGGAATCTACATATGAAATAAAGACAATAAGAAAGGAAATTTGGCGTTATTTGCTTCACATGAGGACAGAATTATGCTATGGCACCAAAGGCTAGGACATCCAAGCTTCTAGTACATGAAGTATTTACTTCCACTGTTATTTCGAAATAAAAATCTGAATTCCCTAAAGTGTGAAATCTACCAACTTTCAAAACATACTCGTGTTCCTTACACATTAAAACCTTACATCCAATCCAAACCTTTCTCTTTAATACAAAGTGATCTATGAGGGGCTAGCTGAGTGAAAAATATTACGGGGGCTAGATGGTTTATAACATTTATTTATGACCATACTAGTGTTTGTTGGGCTTATCTCTTTAAAAAAGGTCTAAAACACCCAAAGTATTTTAAAACTTTAATTTAATGATTAGGACCCAATTCAATTCCACCATAAAAATGCTTCGCACCGATAATGGAAGAGAGTACTTCAACTCGGTTTTAAGTCCTTACCTTGCAGAACAAGGCATCATACACCAAAGCTTATGTCCAGACACACCATAACAAAATGGAATTTATGAAAGAAAAAACCAAAACCTATTAAATATTGCTCAAGCCTAATTTTTACTACAAATATCCCAAAATACCTATGGGGAGAGGCTATTCTTTCCGTATGCTACCTAATCAATAGAATTCCATCCAAATTCCTTAAATTTCAAACACCTTTAACTACCCTTCAAAAGGATTTCCCTTTTTTTCATGTTCCTACCTTATCGTTTAAATTATTCGGGTGCAAAGCCTTTGTCCATAGTTATCAACCTAACCTATCTAAACTTGACCTCATGCTCATACTTGTGTTTTTATTGGCTACTACCCTACGCAAAAAGGGTATAAATATTACTCACCTACTATGCATCGTGCATTTGTTTCCTGAGATGTAACCTTTTTTGAAACAGAACCATATTTTTCAGTAACTCATCTTCGTGGGAAGATTCTCAATGAAGATGAGAACCTCAATACCCTCCTCATAACTCCATTACCTGATCCTAATCTACCACAAAAGTTTCATACAAATGACATCCTCATAATTCCTAAGCAGCCCCTCACAACAGCCCCTTCACAGCATCACAATGATGATCCTAGTCCGCACAAACAAAAACTTTCTCATGAAACTCAACAACTATGTTCTCCTAAACTCTGGGTTTATTCAAGGCGTCGTTACTCTCCTGAAACTGACATAGTAGTGCCAAATTCATTTACAACCGTGGACTGTTCTACAACATAGGTAACTCTTGATTCTCCATCTATTGATCTCCCAATTGTTATTCAAAAAGGTGTAAAGACCTGCACCCAATACCCTATCTCTCGGTTTGTGTCTTATGGAAATTTGTCCAAGTCATACAAGAACTTTGTGACAAATATTAACCATGTAAAAACTGCAAGGAATGTAAAGGAAGCTCTTGAATCACCCGAATAGAACATGTTGTTATAGAAGAAATGAATGCTCTCAGAAACAATGCAACATGGGAAATCTCAGATATGCCTAAAGGAAAAAACAGTAGGCTACAAATGGATTTTCACCACCAAATTCAAAGCTGATAGAAATATTGACAGGCACAAGGCTCGACTTGTGCAAAGGGATTCACTCAGTCATATGGGCTCGACTATGATAAGATCTTTGATCCTGTTGCCAAACTTAATACTATTTGGGTTCTTTTTGTCACTTGATGCAAATCTTGATTGGACTTTAACTTAATTAGATGTTAAAAATGCCTTCCTAAATGGTGAATTGGCCGAGGAAGTGTATATGGACTTTCCACCAGGATTCAAAAAAGAAAAAGGTCAGGTATGCATGCTAAAGATATCACTATGTGGGTTGAAACATTCCCTAAGAGCCTGATTTAGTCGCTTTGCCAAGGCTATGACCAGTAGGGCATATACCCAAGGACATGGTGACCATACCATGTTCTACAAACATTCGAAGGAAGGTAAATGCTACATCCTTATAGTCTATGTTGATGATATCATTCTAACATGAGATGATTCGAATTAAATCGTATGCTTAAAAGAGTTTATTAGCATTGAATTTGAGCTTAAGGACCTAGGAAAGCTAAAATACTTCCTTGAAATGGAAGTAGCAAGGTCTCGGACATGTATCTCCATCTCTCAATGGAAATATGTTCTAGATTTATTGAAGGATACTGGAATATTGGGATATAGGCCTGTAGAAACCCCGATGGAATTCAATCTGAAACTTGGAACTGATGAACTTGGAGAGGAAGTAAATAGGGGGAGATATCAACGACTTGTGGGAAAACTTATCTATCTATTCCACACTCGTACTGACATTGCTTTCAATGTGAGTTTTATCAACCAATATATGCATAACCCAAGGGAGAAACATCTAGAGGTTGTCAACAGGGTGTTGAGATACTTGAAGGGAACCCCAGGTAAGGGCCTACACTTCAAGAAAACAAATAGTCGATATGTAGACATCTACACAGATGCTGATTGGGCATGTTCGGTGAATGATAGACGGTCTACAAATGGTTACTGCAGCTACGTTTGGGGTAACCTTTTAACGTGGAGAAGTAAAAAGTAATCTGTTGTAGCCCGCAGTAGTGCTGAAGCTGAATATTGAGATGTGTCACATGGTATATGCGAGGGAATTTGGATACAACTACTAATGAGGGAATTAAAAATGCCTCGCAACAGACCTATGAAATTGTACTATGACAATCAGGTAGCAATGAGCATAGCATACAATCTGGTTCACCATGATCGTACCAAACATGTAGAAATAGATCTCCATTTCATCAAATAGAATATTAAATCAGGGGAAGTTTGCATAACCTACCTACCAACTAAAGAGAAAATTGCAGACTTGTTTACCAAGAGCCTTAACAAGAACATGTTTGAAGATCTCATTAGCAAGCTGGGTTTGATGAACATCTATGCACCAGCTCGAGGGGAGTGTTGGAATTCCTAGAATCAAGGGACATGATATTTTTTCCTCTTAATTTTAGGAGTTTGCCTTATGTAAATAGTCACTAATCTAATTCCCTGATCTTAGGAATCATTTTCTAACTTAGAGTATTTATTCCTTATAAATTGTAAGTTACTGTTAGAGCAATAAAGTAAGAATTTTATTTCTTCTCACATTTGTTCAAGGTCGAGTACCCAACCTGAAAATCATGTGGTTTTATTATAAATAACTAGTGGTTTTAAATGTGTCGGCAGGTCGATGTGTTGGGTCAATCAGATAGAGTATTTTTTAACACCCCTACGTGACATGAAATGTGGCATCATTCTTTTGAAGGATTAAATTTATTTTAATTTATTAAAAGTATGACTAAATTGAGAGAATATGTAAATAATAGGGACCAAATGTGTGATTATATCAAAATATTTAACTGTTGCTAACGACAGTTAACTCAAGGTGAACACATCTTATTTAAATAAAAATTAAAGAGATCATATCTTATGTTTTTTTTGAAATCAATTACCAAAAGTGGACAAAACATAAACATAATTACCATCAATGTAGTTAATCCTAAACTTTTATATTTCACAATTTAATATATAATTTAAGAATGTTTAGTATAATTAACAGGAATAAAAAAGTGAAGGCATGACCTAATTTCTATGATGGATGTCTTCACCAAATATAAAATACAGATTCTGCCTATCTATTCCTCTCCATAATCTTAGCTTAACAAGACAAAAGTACATTTAGGAACTCTTTACTTTTTTGTTCAAAATATTCTTTTGATAAATTTAGTTGGTATTATCTTTTAATTGTTAATGATAATGACAATGATGTTTATAGATTCGTATAAGAAAACTATAAAAATCCCACTGCTAAGTGGCATGCAATAATGCAACAAAAAAATATTCCTTAATAAATACCCATTGTCATGCATGACCTTGGCAATGTAAATTTATTAATTTTTCTGGGTTTTCACCTTTTCTTTGTTTATTAGGCCGCCTCGTGCAAACCCAGACCTCAATATTATATTATTTTTAATCGAATCCAAATTTTGAGTCATTAGTAGGGATAGGGCTTTACTTGAAATAAAAAGATCTAGCCATATAGGACACAATCTGAACAGTACCATGTATGTATCTATGGTGAACTTTTGTTAGTCGGTTTTGTGTAAATGGAAACATGCATGCAAGGGGTTTGCTATCTCGAGTCTTGACCAGCCACAGAATTCACTGTCCAATCATTTTTGACCACTTGGGAGTTGGGACTCCAACGGACCCGGGGAACAAAGGTTCTTTTCGCCCGGAAAATGACGTCAATTATGGAGAATAAAGGTAGACACGGTTGGAGCCTTTGAGATAATAAGTGGCGTAGGTTAGGAGAGTGTTGGGTGTGTAGGATAGAAAAAGTTATGCACATTTTTCATTTTTTTTTCATTTTTCTTATATTTTTGTAACTAGGAACACTCAGACATTAACGTTTGATTGTAGCGTTTTAAAGTAAGTGTGTGTGTGTGTTAATTTGTGAGTTGTTTTGGATTCTTTTGTTTGCTTTCAAATAGTGGTGGAAGACTAGAGACTGAAAGGTGCTGATTTTACAAAAACAGGAGCAACCTTGAGTGTTCATTTGGGCCTCTTTTTTTACTGGAACAACTTTGGGTTTTGGGAATTCAGTTGATCCATAAGGTTAGTTTGTAAAGTTTCTCAAATTTCGTTCTTTTTTTTCTTTCGATAGTTGAAAGTTTCGAAAAGATATCTTTTCTTTTCCTCTTTCCCTGTTTAATCATATCCTTTAAGCCTGTGGTTTAGTAGGTTGGTGTTTTGAGTTTTGCTGACCACGTGCTTGTCTTTTTTACTATCCTTTGTCGATAATATATGATGGCTGATAATTGCAACATGTAATTTTGGGGACAATTAAGAGCTTGAGTTTGACTATGGTAGCTTGGTTTTTAGATTTTTAGTTCGTGATTCTAAGCTTTAGTTTGTTCCTGCTGCATATTATTTTTTCAGGCATTTTGTATCACTGTATGAGTTTTTTTGAAATCTCTATCATTTTTGGTTCAATATTACCAGTTTCTTGATAGAGTATGAACTCTGCATCAATTGAACTCACCAGAAGGATGGCAACATTTTTGGTTCAACTGCGACTCTAGTCCGAATACAGGATCATCCTCGATCGTAGAGATGGATGTTGGGGTGGAGAACAAGGTGAAGATGCGTTTGGTTTTGTTTCTAGCTTGGTTAATCTCATTTTCTTCCGGTTGCAGGGCTATAACTATATTGCTATGTGATTTAAATCATTAGGCCGGATATATATCTTGTGATCAAGTTGAACCTTCAAGAAGATATCAAGAAACAAACAAGCCCATTGATAAGGTGATGATTTTGTAGACGAAATAAAATCTTTCACCCCCATCTTCATTTAACAAATTATAGCTATTAACTCATCATATGTACAGACACAGAGAAGTTTAGCACAAAACCGAGAAGCTGCTCGTAAAAGTCGTATTCGGAAAAAGGTAGGAATTTTGATAGTAATTTCATTTTTTGTTGTTGAAATATACAAGTATTTATGGTTTTATTTTCTTTATAGGCCTATGTTCAAGAATTAGAATCAAGTCGTTTGAAACTAGCTCAATTGGAGCAAGAACTTGAAAGAGCTAGGCAGCAGGTGAAGTGAAAACTCGTATCTTTGTTCATCATGTTTCTGAATATGGCATATACAAATCAGCTTGGCAATGACTTTAAAGCAGGTGCAGGGCGGGCTATCGGGAACCACAAACCCAGGTCAGTCCATCAGAATATGTTCATATGATTTCCATGGAGACTTGATATTTTTAACTTGTGCATACATCAGTCTAGCTACATGTGAAGTGCATTTGAGGGATTAGTGGCATGAAGTAGATTTTTTTCTGTGATTTTCCATGCATTCAAAGAATTTCTGTTTCGTATAGGTTGTCATGCCGCATATCGAGCCCTTGACCGATCAACAACAGTTGGAAGTTTGTCAACTCAGACACTCTTCTCAGCAAGCTGAAGATGCTCTTTCACAAGGAATCGACAAACTCCAGCACAAACTGGTCCAAAATGTGGCATCTGATTCAAGCTGGGGAAACTACAGAGCTCAGATGGCTGTTGCAACAGATGTATTAGAAGCAGTTGAGGGCTTTGTAAACCAGGTACGTTACTTGAATCTATTCTCGGAATTGGGTTTGAATGTCGAATACAGCTATATATCTATGTATCGATATCGACATAGAATAGTTAGAGAAAAATAATGAGTGCGTTTGATTAATTGCTTTTGGTTGCGCTCTTCCCACGAAAACACAGGCGGACCACCTTCGGGAACTACAGATGGTTCGAGTGATGACAACCCATCAATCAGCTCCAGCATTGCTTGCCTTAGGGGAATATTTTCATCGTCTACGTGCTCTCAGTTCACTCTGGGCAGCCCGTCATATATATATATATATATATATATAGGCAGTAGGATCACCACTAATTTGTTCCTCAACTACCCAAATCCTATATGACTTGCCAAATATATATATATATATATATTATAATGTTTTTCTTAAGCATAAAACATGTAAATATGAATAATGTATCGAGAAGAATTTCATGACATTAAATTTACTGATGCTGTATGGTGATACTATATTGTTCGGAAACTGGAGAACTATATTAGCAAGCTCTGACTATTACCTTTGTTTTGCCATTTTTACCCATATTATTATAAGATTTGGTAATATATACCACTACAAATGAGCAAAACTCGACGTGACTTAAAAAATTAATTTTTTACTCGAAAAAACTCAACTCGAATTGACTTGGAGTTGTAATTTTATAAACTCGACAAGACTCAAAAAAATTTCAAGTTCAAATCGAGTTCTAAAATACAACTCGAATAACTCAAAACTTTTAGTAATTAGTGGATTGATTTTCAAGTTTGAGCTGAGTAACTCGACTATATATGATATATGTATATGACATATGAAAAAATATGAAGAAATATATATGTATTGCATATGATTATAAAAACTATTTAATTTAGAAATCAAATAATATCATAATATTTACAATTAAATTTTAATAAAAACTCAAACTTTCGACTCAACTCAACTTGAAAAAAATTCAAGACAATTTTGAATTATAAAATATGACTCGCCAACTCTAATAACTCAAATTTTTTTTGACTTGACTCAACTCGATCGAATGCTTACCACATCTTTCTCATCAGATACTGTAAGATTCTTGAAACTTTTTTTTTCTTTTTATAATTTTAGTTAAAACTTTACTCCATTAATCAAACACAATTTGATACAATTTAAATCTTTCTAAACGAGATGAAAATAAGTATTTAGTTGAATTAAACTGAATTGAACTTATTTATTTATTTAGTGGTGATTTATTTAGTTTACCCAAAATATTAAATTAAAGTTCCATTTTGATAAGAACTTATTTATTTATTTCTTATCAAAATGGAACTTTAATTTAATATTTTGGGTAAACTACATAAATCACCACTAAATTTTTTTTCTTGCTCCTATTTTGATCACTTAAATTTTAAGATTTTCAATTTAATAATTGAACTGTTAGGTGTGGGTCCCACTATATGGGAAAACCCATTGGCCCGTTGAACCTATTTGATGGGTGAATGTTTAAACTTTGTCTTATTTGGTTGAAAAGTCGAGCACATTTAATGCTTCCTTTGACTTTGGTAAAAAAAACCTAATTTACTTTTGGGTTTTGTGTGTGTTTTGGGGGTTGTAATTTCAGAAAAAAATAGAATCAAAGAAGAGAGAGGGGAGCTCATATTCGAGAGAAACAAAGGGTAACAATTTTTCTAAAGTTTGGTGCAGCAGTGATCAATTCTTCGATCGGAGGTACATTTGTGGTTCATTGAGCTAATTTTTGGACAATAGCTAGGTGACTTGATGTTCTCGAGTTTGTACGGTCATATTTTTATCTAAGTCCTACAACGATTGGAATCGTCATTTTACAGCAGGCAACGTTTTTGGGTAATGTTCTTCGTTTTTCTCTCTTTTGGTAAAGATTACTAGTTGTTAGCCTTGTTGGAGTTGTAGGCTTATTGTAGGCTTGATTTTGTGATCTTGTTGCTAAACATTTAATGATAGTGGAGCTTTTGATAAGACACACAATCGACCGATTAGAATGTCACACGGGACCATCGAAGTGGCTAACACAAATTTTTTCTTTAATTACTTTGTAAAATGAATAATTTAAAACCACTTTGAAATAAGGTAATTCATCACAAAAAATATATAATAAGTTTACATCATAAGCTCCAAAATAGTATATCAAAATAATACAATCAACTGTATAAAATAAAGTTACAACTCGATTATATAAGGGTCTAAAAATAATACATGCCCTCTAAAGAATAACTCAAGACGTACTATACTCCACACTTGATCTGGTAAGTTGCTGCTCAAAAGGCTCCTCAACTGCTCTTCCTAAATACTTGCACATGGAAATAAATTCTGAACGCTGAGCTCACTATCATAGTGACATACTAACAATTAAAACATACTAAAAGTGTTCACCGAATGCTCACGTTATCAAGTGAAATGCAATAGTTAGTATACTTGTATGCTTCACTCTACTCTATTGTATACATAATGGTGTGGCTGAGGGTTTTGCCTCTCGGAGCTCACGCACCCCTCTAGTCTACCAAAGATGAGGTCCAGAATATCTACATTGGACACAACACCCTCGACTAACCCTCACCTCACAAGTGTTGAGCCTCGACCCTAGTTAGTTAGTTTAAAGTTCCTCGCACACTAATTAACGAGTTGGATATCCTTAACGTGTTGAGCCTCGACTCATAAGAGAAGTATCTATATTGTTCTTCTAGTACCGATACTCACACTCGAAAATACCCTGTTTGGGCATGAATTTAACACCTAAACTTACCCAAACTATTCTATTGAGATCCCCAATCATTATTAATATTTTATGTGGTACACAAAGGTCATAATAAAGGCTTTAGAACATACTTTAACACCAAAAAGATAGAATCTACCATGAAAATGCTATATCATGCTTGCAACTCAACTATCTAGTTACAAGACATTTAAATGACTCACAAATAGTATGAGGAAGTTGTAACCTTGGTGTTCTAGCTGCTAGAAACTCTCCCAAAATCAACCATGGTTCAATTTCTCTTTTTTTCTAGCTTTGGACCTCTCACCCACTTCTTTCACTAAAAAAAGAAATTAATGAATTAATAACTCAACTAGGTGCTTGGATTGAAGTTATGAACACTTACTATAACATGAATACACTAAAAATGTGCTAGAATCACTTAATTCTCTTAAACATCCCTAAAACCCAGTTTTAGACTACTAACTCGTGATTCAAGGCGTTATATTATCCTTGATTTAGAGGGTTTTTCCACGTAAATATTTTTATGCCTCTATTTAACTGTGTTGTGGTTATATTGGTTGATTTGTGGTTTATTAGTGTTGCTAGTGAACGCATATTGTGCTATTGTGCTTGCCATAATTTTTGACATGAATTATTGGGAGAGAAATAACATTAGTTGTGATTCTGCTTGTGTTCGATTGCTTAGTTTCTTCCTAACAAATTGGTATCAGAGCTTGGTTATTGTGTCAAATAATTGTGGAGATTAATACAGGAAAGATGATTATGTTGAATGACACAAATTATAAACTTCAATGAAATAAAATTAAAGATTTGTTGTTTGTAAAGGCTTTGAATCTTTCGGTCTTTGCTACTAAAAAGCCAAACTCAAAAAGTGATAAAAAAATGTGAATTGAGCATCAAAAAGTGCGTGGCTTCATTCAGCAATTTGTAGAAGAAAATGTTCACAACCACGTTGATCAAGAGACACATACGCGCACACTTTGAGAGAAGCTTGAAAGCTTGTATGCTTTAAGGTTGGGCAATGACATGTTGTTTTTGCTGAAGAAAATGATGGCTTTGAAATATAAAGAAGGAACATATACAACTGATCATGTTAGTGAGTTTCAGAGTGTAATGAATCATTTGCTTGGTATGAGTGTCAAATTTGATGATGAGATTTTAGGCTTTGGTTGCTTGCTACTCTACTGGACTCTCAAGAGACTTTTTAGATCTCGCTCATTAATTTTACTTCACAAAGAATTATTACTTTGCATTTGGCTAAGAGTGGTGTATTGAATGAAAATGTTAGAGTAGGTCTCATGGTTCTACATCACAATTTGAGGATTTGGTTACCGAGAACATGGGGAAAATAGAGACAAACATGGAATGGGTAGAGATAAAAGTTGAAGCATGTAATGCCCCAAATATTTAATTAAGGACTTTATTGAAAGGATTTAAAAATAGGAGGATTTATTCGATTAAATGATAAAAGATGAAATGATTATGATTAATGGTTTAGACTAAATTATGACAATGGATCCTTAAGAGGGAATTTTGGTATTTTAAATGAAAGAGAATTTAAAATGTATTTTAAATTGGTATTAAAGAAAAGGGAAAAAAGAATTAGGTTGTACAAAAGTCTTTCTTCTTTTCTTCCTCTTTTCCTCGTAGCAAAGCCGCTCTATAGCTCAAAGGTGAGTTTTTAATTTACTAGTTTATTCCTTTGTTTTTTGTTGGTTATTGAAGCCTTGTATATGATGGAAGCTTAAGGAATGTTTAGATGAGATTAAAACAATGAGATAAGGGAAATAAAGGAGATTTTAGAAAATGGGTTTTATAACGATATGTTAATATGTGAGTTTTTATTGAGGTTTATTGGTAAAATTGACTTATCAAATAGGTAAATGAAATATTATAAGCATTAGATGAGTGTAAAAACAAGTTAGAAATTTTGGTGTAATTTTTGGAATAAAATATTATTGAGGGATACTAGATGTTTTAAGTATCTAAATGAAGGAAAGTTAGTATGGTTAAGTAGAGAAGAGTTACTTAGTATTGTTAGGGGTAAAATGAGGAAAATTGCCTAGATTTGGGTATGTATCAAGTTGAAACTGGAAAATCTAAGCACAGGTATCAGTATTGATAGAATAGTAACGATACTATAGGCTAAAATTTGATGAATCAACTGTGTAGTATCGGTACTGATTCAATCAATATCGATACCGAAAGGGGGTATCAATACCAAATCGAAGGTAATAATACCATTTTAAAATAGAATGCAAAAATGGTATCGATACCATAGTAGGGTATCGGTACCATAGTATGGAGTATCGATACCATGGTGGTATCGATACTGAAGAGCCAAAAATTTTAAGATAGGCTGATATTGTTGTAGAAAGGTTAATAATAGGTACTTTTGATTAATGTTTAAGTATATTGTTAGGAAATAAACTAATAATTGATGTTATACATGTATTTAATGAATATGGAGTATATCAAAATTAAGCTCCCAAGTCGAGTAAAGCCAAAGGAAAAGGGCAAGTTCCGAAGTAATCATATTTCTATTTTGGATATCTAAGCAAGGCGAGCTAGGTGAGTGCATTTAATTATTCATGTACATAC